ATAGGCCAATTCGCGGGATCACCCGAAAACTGTGGCAGATCGCGCGCCAACGATTGACGTGCGGCAAGCTAATGCGGTGACGGACCGTTCTGGTTAGCGTTCAATCGCTGCTGCTGCTGCCGATGATACCACTCCTCCAACGACGTAGACTGTACGTTCCTATTCGTTGTGCACACGAAGGGTTCACGCTGCTGTTCGTTGTTGGCGAAGGGGATGCGTTGCTGTTGGCGACTATCGAGAGTATTTTGCCCGAAATCGCGAGAATTAAACCGTTGTTCCCTGGTAACAATGGGAACCGTTTCGAAAGGGATCGCGAAGGACTTATGAGGGACATTACCATCGTACATTTTATTGGGGAAACCACTATCGTTAACATTGCTCTTACCTGCACCGCCAACCTCATTGGCATGCGTTTTCGGGTAGGCACCAAGGTTCCTAGGCTGCTAGTTACCTTGCTGTACATCGCCAAATAGAATCGGGGAATTCATCTGACCGATCGTTGGGCTGATGTTCCAATCGGTTGGGTCTAATCCAAGCTACCTTTTGCACTGCTGCAGTTCACGTCGAAGCTCCTCCATTTGCTGACTGGTTGGAACTGATTGTAGTTGGCAGCGCTCAAGCTGCTTCTCGAGATCGCGTAAAGTCTCCACAATCTCGTGATTGTTTACATCCGCGGGCTGAGCGACTGCTGGCGGATTCGATTGTTCACCCGCCGCGCCGTCTTCTGGCTCCGGATGATTGCTAATCCAATCGGAAACTCTTTCTCGTCGTTCGTGATTGCTTACCCGGCTCCGGGATTCGATCACCTTGTCCATCAGTTCCAACTGCTCGTCCAAGAATTTCTTCTGCAGTTCATGCTCCATTCGTTGTCGTTCAAGCTCCTGGCGTTGCTTCAACAGGGTGAGATTGCGTTGTACGTTGGTTGTACAGCTGCACGAAGAGATGTTTGCTGGTGGGGGTGGATTCGGTGGTGGTGATGCAGTGCAGTTCGAACACATCCACGCTCGGTCACTGACGGACTCCGTCACACCAGCACACGAAAAGTGCCACCACAGATCACACCCATCGCACTGCACATAATTTTCATCGGCATCTGGATTGTCGCATGCTGCACAATCGCCGTGCTGTACCATCTCCGGATCTCTAGCGGGAATCGGCAACTGCTTGATGAATTATTGTGAGAAGTGAAGTGATGCGCTGAGAAGTGAAAGGCCCGCACTGATATCCGAACAGCTTATATATTTAATTTTGTGTGTGTGCTTCAAATCTATTATTTGATTTTGGTTTAGTTTTACAAGTTGTTTTTAGGTTAGAATAGAACTTACAATTCAGTGGCGATTTTCGTTCGAATGGTCTTTCTGGCCAGTATTCAACCGCTTGCTGTATAATCCTAAGTAGATGTAATTCTTGTTTAAGTTTTTAGGTTTCACTAAGTCCATCAAATTTACCTTCACGTATTAACTATTTAGATTAAAGCTAGATGTAAGTAAGATTAACTAATTTAACTTTCTATAGTAATTTTTCACCCGCGTGTATCTGGTTCAATTCTTTCTTTTTCGTTCCTGCAGACTGACGTTTCGACACAGAGAGTTTGTCGCGCGTTTACTCACCGCTCGTGTCGTGATGTTCAGACGGCCGGGTTGCCAATTCAACCGTTCAATCAGTCGATGTCCCTGTGCTAACACACCGTTTAGTGAGAACGGATGGAATTCGACTTTGAAAATCTGCGTTAGTGAAATCGGTGATAATTTTAATTATCATAGCAGCAGTGGCACATTCGTGCAATTTTCAATTGTGACATTTTGAAAAATTATAAAATTTTAAATTTAACAGATGCGTAGATATATTTCTGATCGATTGGTGATAAAAATATTGAAATTGGTCCAGGGGCAGCTGAGTTATTAATGTTTAAAATCTTTCATAATTTTGTTACATGTTCCATTTTCGGTTTTCACAAAGTGTACACCCATATAGAAATCACAGACGTAGTCCTATGTAAAAAAAGTTAATTGTTGTTGAGATTGAGGTGCTCATCATCTGAGTGATGCTTCCTTCCTGTTAACTGGATGCACATTATGGAACCAAGTCAAAACTACTGTTTTCATTCAATCGTTCATTTGAAAAACACTTTTTTTCGACTTCCCAATGAGGCCCTGTCATTTAAGACTCAATCATTACAATGGTAATATAAGTCGAAACAAGAATTAGTAACGACAATGTGGTAAATATGTATTCGTAAAAAATCAGTTCGTGAGCAGTTAGTCAGATCAAGTCTCATTCTCTCCGAATACCGTTCATACTGGCGATACAAACTCCCCTCATGATCCTATCCTTCGACAATGTACCCCTCTAACCTCGGGTAAGCCGCGAGTATTCGGCCCAACTCCTACTAGACATAATATTAAGAGAATTTTGTTGCAAACAATGGACAAAAATAATTATCGGCTCCATAAAGCTATCGTGATTGAGCCTCCAAAATAAACGAACTAGATAAAAAAAATCTCATTCTCTTTAACGCGATATTTTCCCTCACTCGTTGTCCAGGCCACTTTAACCACATATCCCATGCAAAATTCCAAAATTTATAACCGTAGTTCTAAATTTTTTCCTAACTCGTTGATCGTAAATATCTATTTAGAACGAGTTTACTGTAATAAGTTTTATCTTTATTTCACTCTCTCGTTTTCTTCCTGTATCTCTTTTTCTCTCATTCTTATATTTACTCACGCTGCATCTATCACCGCAAGGATACTGATTTTGATTTACCAATATGAGGTTTTGTCATCATGATCATTTTTTTCAGAACAATGTTTTTTAGGTTCCATTTGGGGTCCAAAACAACTGTGCAAAATTTAGGGACGATTGGGTGGCTTTCCGCATTGCGTTTGAAATTTGTATGGGAAAACCTATTTTTTGCATCTTGATTCCTAGGGACCACAATTTTGCTTTACCCATGCATTTAATCACGTAAAACTATAATCCACCAACATTACCGAATAAGGTCCTAAAATTTAAACTGAGGAGCTCGACTAGCTCGGAGGCTGCCGCTTTTGCTTACTGAGTGCAAGATCGTGGATTTACTCCCAAGCTCCTCCTAAAACAAATCAATTACTAAATTATGGTCGCATCGCCTGCTAATGCGAATCCTGACCCATCTCCTACAATACGCGTTGGTGGGTTGCTGGCCTCCCGTTAAGTAGGTGTTACATCAACAATATCCTTCCTTTCCCCGTTATGGAGAAGATGGGCGTGGCCAGCAGTGGTGATTGTCATGCTTTTCCTGTTCTGAATTTTGATTGGAGAGCTATCCACTCGCAAATACTTTTCCTTAAGCAATCAGAATATGAACGATAAAGTAGATACATGACAGTTACCTACCAGTATGCAATCTACGAATTACTCCGTTAGAAACGCAATGCAATGGTAGCAATTCCATTTCGTATGTTGAAGCGGTCCTTTTTCACATAACCGGCCAACATTTGAAATATTTAAAGAGTTTTAAGTTTATAGATTTTAAAAACATAAAAGAACTAAGCGCAAAAACAATTGTACTGACCAACCGTGGTCCTACGTCAATCTTCCGTTAGTGCCCCTAGGCACAGACTACATTTTTCACTTTGGAGTAAACACACCTTAGCAACGGGTAAATCGATTAGAATAACTTCAGCGCTCAAAAGTACTGCCGTTTTAAATAATATATTTCGTGACATACTTATCAATGTGCCGAAAAGTGTGTCATGCTGTGTTTCGACACAGTGTGCATGAATGACTTCAAAATTAAAGAAAAAATAATCACCACGAGAAAGTCGCAACGGGTTGCCAGCAGGCTTGCTTCCACTCACTTGCTATAAAAACATGACTTTCTGAATTTTGAAATCATTAGATGTTATAATTATATTTTGTACTTGTTAAATACAAGAAGAGGTTGAAAAGCAAGTGTTTAACACATTAAACCTGTCAAATTCGCTTTCAGATTGTCACAATCAGCGATTTTACGACTCGCGAGCGCTCACTCTGAGTGAACGCTCACGAATCATAAAATCGCTTATAGTAACACTCTGGTAGCGAAATTGACAGGTTTTATGAGGCAAAGACTTGCCTTTTAACCTGTTCTTGTATCTAACAAGTACAAAACATCATTATAACATCTAATGATTTCAAAATTCAGGAAATCATTTTTTTATAGCAAGTGAGTGGAAGCAACCCTGGTTGCCAGCAGTTCCATGAGTAATTAAATCTTTATACGAAGGACTTTCAAAAATGCACTTTCACTGTCATCATACTGTTCGATGCATACAATGTAACTATTTACGTTATTTGTCAAATCCAGGTAATCATGACATTTCATTATTGAAAACACTATTAATGAAGAAAAGAGACTTACTGCTGTCATGACGATTATCTGAATTTTGTCTAGGAACGTAATTATTAGTGACCTATGCATCGAATATTTAATTTTGACCCAGGATCAAGCGAAGTTCTCGCTGGTGGCAAAACACCCATAAACAGCGCTGTTCAGCAAGCTGTGTAAATGCCGTCATCAGCATTCGTCGCAAGACTTCATTTTCCTTTTTCCTAATTGGGCATAAAATTCTCAACTTGGTGGAGCTTCTTTCTCATTGTTTATTAAAAAGCAAAAAAATACAGCTTTCCCCCCGAAGAACGCGTTACCCACTGAGTTCTACCCACCGCTTTGTCTCGGTGGGTTTTCAACGAGGCGCTCTTATTTTCTGCGAGTGACTAGTTCTCCATTGGCACTACTCACATGCAAAAAATCAGACCGACTGGTTGAAACCCCGCCGAGAAAAAGCGCTGGGTGCAACTCAATAGGTAACGCGTTCTTCAGGAGATAGCTGTATTCGCATTTCTCCTGAACCAAACCCGCCCCTCGCTCAGTGTACGTATTATTGAGGAAAACTTTCATCCCTACGCGAAACACCAACGACGACGAAGAGCAGGATTCTTTTTAATAATTATTTTTCCTCTTCTTCCGCCTCCAGGACACGCACATCTGACCGACTTTAACATCGCAACCCGGCTGCCACCGGATGGGTTGGCCTGCAGCATGTCTGGCACCAAGCCGTACATGGCCCCGGAGGTTTTCATGTGTGCCTTAGAGGAGATCGGTAAGTTGGCAGATGGCGGTGAAAATGTGTATCTATTATTATCCATAGTAAGGGGGAAGGGGAAGCATGGAAGAGATGGTAATGGGACCATGCCTCCGGGACACGATGTGCCATTCCGGGTTTCTCCTTCACGAGTCTATCAGTATAAATAGCAGCAAACGAGGGCCTGAGGGTCTGTGCCGGTTGCCCTATTGGAATTTGTACGACCGGGCGAGCAAGCGATATTAAAATTTCAGCATTTTAATTTAATAAACAAGCGAGGCTTGACGATGACGATGTCGCTGTGGATAGTGTGTATTAATATTCGCATGGTTGTGAACTACGTGTAGGCTTCGGTGGAAGCTATAGATATAGCCATAAAGCCGAGCGAATCGAACGTCGAGTGGGAGAAAGCGTTTCGTGATAGAAAATTAAATTATTCACCGATTTTCCCTGTTGAAAGTGTGAAACGGACACGGAGGCGGAAATGTTTGACGGCTAATCGAACGAAAAATGTAATCCGCCTAGAAGCAATGTCGAGCTCATTTTGTTTTTCCGCTGGCAAATAACTGAACCAAACATGGTCGAAACAAACAACATACCACGTGTTCGTTCGGAAACAACTTGTTAACTTGAAACGCTCAGCCTTTCCAGAATTGTTTTTCAAATAGCGGTATTTCTGTTTAGAAAAATAGCGGTATTTATCGGGCTTGAACATTTTCAAAAGTGATGAGCGGGAGGTGGTACTATGGCAGGGCGCCCACTTCACAAATATAGCTCAAATCTGCTAAAATGACGTTGATTATCATGATGATGAGCGTAGAGGAGGATGTCAAATCGAAAATCGGTAGTTATCGGTATGAAATTTTGTAAATCGGATTTTCAGAGGCTCTATCTTTATATACATATATATATATATTGAGCATACAAATCGGTAGCTCTGGCAACGCTGCTCACTCTATTCATAACCTGATGGATACAAAATCCCAAAACTAGCAACTTTGGTTTTAACAATAAAAATCTGGCACTCAGTGTTGAGGGCAGCAACCACGCAGGAACCACAACGACCGAAGCGAATAATCGGGACGAAAAAGGAATCGGAGAACTGAATAAAAAGATTTAGGCGTAGCCAAGGGTAGGTCACCCCGCACACCAATCTTGGGTCATCTTTTTTGTCAGTGTGCCGCAAGTATTCCGATTGTGCCGGTCATAGAGCAAGCTGCAATTGTTTGTAAAATACCCATCCCGGCAACCCGGTATTTCTGACACCTTGAATGTTTTGGTTTGAAATCGCAAGGATAAATCGGATTAAGGATGACGCGGGAAGTGGCGAGTGTGCGAAATTTCGGTGTTTTGTGATCCAAAGGGCAGTATTTTAGTGTTTTATAATGTCCTCAAAGGCAGACCAGAAACCTAGCCTTTCGGCCGGAAAGAGTTGGAACCGGTGGGGAGCATTGTTGGAGACCGACTTTAGAGGGTGATGAATAGACTTCTTTAGTTTGTTTTGTGTGAGTTGCAGCATTATTTGAATTAAGGGTACTAATGAAGTCTGATTAACTGCTCTTCCCCTTGAGTCCACTCTAGAACCTACATTCCATGTTTAGATCTATAATTGAACTGCTGGTCTGAGTTCCTCTAGTATATTCAATTAGAAGATGTCCCTGAACATATAGTCAAACAGCACGTAATGTTCTGAACAACTTCAATGACAGTTGTCCAGCAGTGATCCCATTTTATTTACAACAATCTAATGCCTACGAGATTGTGCCGATGGATGTACCCAAGCTGTGCCGAATATAATTTCGGTACAATGTACTGAGTGACTTACCCCTTGGGCCTAGCAAAAACAAAACAGGTGTATTTCGGTTAAAGCTCGGGTTGAAGTACACAGTTCGGATGAAAAAAGGAAGTAGACGCTTGCACGACCGCTGCTCGTTCTAGTTCGGGAATGTTGGCAGTATTTCGATCGTTGCGTTTCGGTAGATGGTGTGTGCGCGCGAGGTAGTCATTTCTAACTCCCCACACTCCTCCTAAATGTATACCGAGTCATTACTTTCTCGATAAACCCAAGCTCTCCAAGAAATCCCGGAACTTCGTAGTGCCCAAGGGCTTCGTGAACCCGTCTGCAGTCATCTTCTCGGAAGGGCAGTAGATCAGCTTCACTTCACCTTGATCGCATAGGCCCTCGATAAAATGCTGCTTAGTGTAAATGTGTTTGGACCGCTTGTTAGTTTTCTCCAGGTTCACGAAGCTTAGGCAACTTTGATTGCCTTCGTAAACCATCGTTGCTTCCTGTTGAGGTTCACCGAGATCCGCCATCAATCGATGAAGCCAGATCAACTCCTGGTAAGTCTCGCTCAATGCGAGGTGTAACAAGTACGCTTTGCATTTATTTATTTAATTATTTATTTGCACAGAATTCCTGTTTATACAATTTTCCACATTTAATTATATTGCATTAACTTTCGTTTTTCAAATAAATCCATAAATTTGTTCACCGCCAAGGAACGAACATCCACTTACGTAGAGTTACACTTGTCATACAAAAAAAGGTAATGAGTTCCCTACGTTCAGATTGAAGCACAAATTCAAATATTATAAAGCCTGTCGAGCTTACCGACGCTACGAAGTTACCGAGTCGTAAGGTGGACATCGACCCGCCAGATTTCCATTGAAAATGCAATGACCTTTTTCCGTTCGGCTTTGCGCACTCCTACCGAATTTCGGGGAGAGAGATGACTGGACTCTGAATAGTCCGTTGGAAGAGATGCTGCAAGGCACTAATAATCGGGTGCACAATTGCGAGAGTTTGGTGGTCGTGAAATTGGGTGTCGTCCAAGTTCGCGACTTCCCGGGCAAAGGTCACAATCTAGCGGCTATCTGAGGAATTCCTCAGCTTTGATCGTCCACTTCGAATCGATCTGTGGAAGAGGCAAGAGTGGTCGGTGTTTTGTCTCGTGTCGTGGTGTGATTAAAAAGGTAGTTTGCGTCATGAACTTTCTTTATTAGATTGTTAATTTCAATTCTTTCCCAGTAGTGTTAGCTTAGTGTAAAACCCTAGCAAGCTAGTTAGTAGGCGGCAAAGTGTGTGTCTCGAAGAAAGTACAAGGTAAAGTGAGCGTTTATCGACCGTTAGACCAGGTCAACTTATTAGCGTGTGCGTGCGGGTATAATCCAACCGGTTCGTGGCAGCGGAGGCCATTTGCCGTCATACCACCCTATTGTCAGAGACCGCTTTTGACCCCACCTATCGGTTTCGGAGGATTCCCGAGGCACACGTGGCCGGAAGAGGGTCGCGATCGCCAATTTGCGCGCCCTGGACAGGCAGGCCAATACTCGTCCCATCTGTAGTCATCGAACAACAGAACAGCATACGTTGCACGTGTTCCAGTGTTCGGACGATCGAACGCATGTGCCGCGTTCAAGCGTAAGCCCGCGTTTCCGGTGAGTGAGACATTTCCAGCATCAGTCGATCGCATCCGCGATAGTTTCTGGGCCGAAGTAGTGCAATACGCAGCTTCGGTACCGCTGCCGTCTCCTCACCCATAGCACCGATGTAATTCCTCGGTTTTCGAGTGAGTACATGCATGTATATTTTTCGTTGTGAACGTCCATGCGCATGAGACAAACGAAAGCATTCGTGAAACATCACCGTCTCTTAAAATGGGTTACACGAAGCCATCCGTCGGCCCATAAATTGTGTAATTGAATGGGTTAAACGTGAAGCCGAGAAACACCAGGAGAGCAGGAATCGTACGGAGGAAACTAGTACCGAACACACGTATGGGAGAAGAATGAATAGTGCACACGCTAGGGAGTAGGATAGATGGTATGATAGAGGGAAAAGAAAGAACAAAGACCTAGGCAAACAGACATGTAGGGAGCAGGTGAAATACAATCCGTACTGAATAAATAGAATGGGAGCTTTTCTCTTAACTTTGTAGTTGAGCTTTGCTAGTACGGTGACAATTGTCATGTTCCGTAATAAATACAGTTAACCCCCTAAAGCCATGGTTTTTTTGGATAGCGTACCATTGATGAACTGCCGAGTTAACTTCTTATGAAGGATTTTCATGTCGTTTCGTGTTCGTTTCCTGTAGTTTTGTAGAGTCAATTTACTGGGGAAGTCAGCCCTGAATCTGACATTTATTGTGCCGGCAACTCTCCAATCTTTCCGGATTGGTTCGTTTGGACTTTCAGGCTGGGCCTGTGATGAGAACATCCCCTAACGAGATTTTTGGTTCGGACGAATTGTCGGTCTTGTGCACACGTAATTGTTAGTGTTTTGTAGAGTTTCTGGACAACGGTAATTTTAGTCAGCCAGTCAGCTTTCTTCCCGTATTCGGGACATATTGACCCAATCCCTTGGATGGTCTCAGGCCGGGCAAACCTACAATCTGCTGGGTGGTCTCCTTCTAGGAGTGGCGCTTAAGCCACCCATCTAACGAACGGAAAGCTTGACGGGCTGGTGGGTTACAGAGGTACTCCGCTTCCATGGACGACAAACTCACACTGGACTGCTGACGACTCACCCAGGCAATAGGACCTCGGCCGAAGAAGAACACAAAACCCGTCGTCGACTTCCTGCTCTCTTGGTCACCTACCCAGTCCGCATCCGAAAAGGCAACCAATGACCATCCATCACAAGGTCCGAATGATAGCATAAGCTCCTTCGTACCCTTAAGGTTCTATTTACTTTGATGCATTTTTTAAAAAATAAAAAGCAGTTTTTTTCGACGCATTATTTTAGATTGCAAAAAGCTCGCGTCATTTTGTGTAAAATATCAAAAGGAATCGAATAGTGCGAGCTTTTTGCAATCTGAAATAATGCGTCGGAAAAAACTGCTTTTGAAATTTTCCAAAAAGCATCAAAGTAAATTGAACCTTAAGGTACCTGACGACTCGCTTTGCAGCCGTCCAATCCATCTCACTTGGGTCACTGACTCGGCGACCAAGCAATAATACACTCAGGCCGAGCGTTGACCGCGATGTAAAGAAGAGACCAGGTTTCTGTACCTTTT